TCGTCAATCTTGGAGTATGCTCCATGTGGTTATGAGTAGAAAGTATATTCTATGGATTTTGAGTGGACTGTTCTGTTAGTAACTGTTAAGTCAATTTGGTCAAGCATCAGGTTGAGGTTCTGGGTCCCTTTGTTGATTTTTTCCCCTCAACAATCTGTCTAGGGTTGTTAGTAGGGTATTTAAGTCCCCAGCTCTGATAGTGTTAGAGTCAGTATCTTTTTTTGGTTTACTTAGTAGCTGCTTTATAAAAGCTGGTGCCCTGTGTTGGCTGCATATATGTTTAGAATGGCTATTTCTTGTTAATGTATCCAACCTTCTATCGTTATGTAGTGTCCTTCCATATCTTTTTAAATTATTAATAGCTTCTCTTTTTTTAGTGAGAAAACAGAATTTATTGAGAGGACAGAAAAGCTCCCACTGTGGAAGGGTCCCCGAAGGGGTTGCCCTTTTGTTAGCTTAAAGATTGCTTTGTCTGCTATTAAATCGCAACTCCTGCCTTCTTTTGTGGTCCTTTCACCTGAAAGCTTGTTCTCCATCCTCTAACTTTGAGTCTGTAGAAGTCCTTTGTGGTGAGATGAGTTTCCTGGAGGCAGCAAATTACTGGCTCATGTGCTTTTATCCAGTTTGCCATTGTATGTCTTTTTAGTGATACATTTAGTCCATTCACATTCCGGCTGATTATTGAAATGTGAGAGTTTGTCCCTGCCACAATGCTCTTTTAAGGCTGCTTAGTTTTCGTTTAGCTTTTGTGTTCATATATGTGTGTGTTTTCATTTTTGTGGATATGCTGTGTGTTCTGCTGCTTCTGCATTTGTTTATGATTGTGTGAAATATATGGTCTTTCTTTTTTCTTCTGTGCACAGCACCTTTTTAAGTGTCTTCTGTAGAGTTGGTCTGGAAGCAACATATTCTCTTAGGGATTGAATGTTTGGGAAGGATTTTAATTATCCATCACTGATGAAACTTAGCATGGCTGGGTAGGAAATTCTTGGTTGAAATGGTTTATCTTTGAGAACATTAAAGATTGGGGCCCAATGTCTTCTGCTGTAGTGTTGCCATAGATAAGTCTGCAGCAATTCTGATTGGTTTCCCCCATTAGGTAGTCTGACCTTTTTCCTCTTCTGCCTTTAGGATTTTTTATTTTATACCTACTCTGTGTAGGCAAATTACTATGTGTCCAGGGGTTGGTCTTCTCATAAGACATCTTATAGAAGTTCTCTGAATCTCTTGCGCTTATATAATCGTCTCTATGGTCAGATGAAGGATGTTTTCTTGAATGACACCATGGAATGTTTGTTCCAGGGTGTTTTACCTTTCTCCATTTTAGGTATTTTGATCAGACGTAGGTTTGGTTTCTTGATAAAATTACACATCTCTTGGAGAGTTTCTTCTTTCTTCTTAATTTTTTTCTATATTTTTATAGATTGGGATTCAATATTGTGGTCTTCCAGTTCTGAGATTCATTCTTCTGCTTGGTCAGTTCTGCTTCCCATGCTTGTCAGTTTGTTATTTATTTCTTGGATGAAGTTCTTTATGTCTGTTATTTCTAAGTATGCTTTATTTAGTCTGTCTGGCTCCACTGCAATTTCATTTCGTTTTAGCCCCTGCATTTCTTGACCTTTATTCATTCTATCCAACAATTCTCTGAGCTCTGTAGAACCTTCTGGGTATTGTCACTTTGGAAGATAGCCATTGTTTGTGTCCCCGTAGCTGTTCTTTCTAGTACTGACTCTTTGCTGGGGCTCTGATGGCTATCAGCAGTTTTTCCTTGTCTTTTCTTCATTTGTAGCAGTTCCCTTGTCTTTCTCTTCAATTCTGTTGCTCAGTGGAAAATGGAGACGCAGACACTTCTGACATTTGCTCTACTTTTTGCCCTTCCTCTAGCTGGGGCTCTGGGTTTGTCCCCTTACGAAGTAGGGCTAGGGTGAAGTGTTGTGTTACCTCTTTAAAATTTTGAGCACTCACTAGGAGATGGGGAGGAGCTGCCAGGATTCAGAACCCATTGGCAGGTCATAATGTTTGCGCTCTGCTGAGTGGGCCAAGTGGAACTTGCTCCCCCTCTCTCCAATATGGCTTGCCAGTGGGTGTGCGAGCATAACCCCTGAGTCCAAGACAGGGTCTAAGAGGGATAAGAGAGAGGAGAAAAGAAGAAAGGGAAAGGAGGAGAAAGAAAAGACAAGAGAAAGAAAGCCAGAGAAAGAACAAAAAGAGAGAGGTAGAAGGAAGAAAGAAAAGAGAAAACCAACCAACGAAGGGACCAGATGAGATCATCGAAGAAACAAACACGCTGCCCCCCAAAATGTTGGTAAAGCGTTCTCAGCTTTCGTGTGTGTCTTTGAGGGGCTCCCTCCTGGGCCGGGTTCGGCAACCGCAGGGCTGCGGCTGCAGGTTCCCGTCCACGGTTGGAACTCGAGATGGCAGACCC